TATTTTTACATAATTGGTCGGTTTATATATATTCAAATTATCTTATAGTCATATATCTTTTTTGACTAGGGCCTAATTGGTCTTTTCATCAGTGCAGTGATGGTGAATAAAGGTCGTCTGTAATTTTCGTCCTGTTTTCCCTCTGCTTCTGTCAGTTAATGGGGGGTGGGGGAGGCATTGAGGTGGTAAAAGTCTGTATTCTGTCATCTCCTATCATGTTTGTCGATGCCTGCGTGCATTTATGGGAAAATTGTTCAAGCCTGATTTAATGTCCAATGTAGTCAAAGGGAACGAGTAAAAACTAGTGTGAGCTAAACCTATCAAGTTTATCCTTTTCATCAGATTTGGAATTATCATAGGAGTAATGTCTTTCATGATCTATATTCGAAGCAATGTTCTGCGGATTAAGAACTTCCCACATAATTGTTTTAATATATTGCTTTGTTTATCTTGCATTCAAAGTTTTTTCGAAACTACTAAAGCGTATTGCTACAAAGCCCTTTGGACTTGATCGGGTTTCTTTTCACACACTACTTGTTTTTTCCCATTTTGAAATCTAATACCCACTATGATTTTTATTGGAACCTCAGAAGCTAATAAAATATATCTATCCAGCAATGTTCCGGGTGTTTTTCGAAGTTTCGTAATATTCGTGATTTCAAGCACAAAAAGTTAACTAGAAAGTTGTAAATTATGATATAAAGTGGGTTGTTGAAGGCCCTAACCGAAATGCCTTGTGTGCACTTTACTCTTATGTTCAAAATGTGGAATCCCGTTGACTCATTATATTGCATTGTTTATTTGATATTTATTAACAGTAGAACTTAAGTGAAAATATTGCCGAGACTATTAAAGCCACAGACATTTACTAATAACCAGCTTGAACTTTTTCACAGTTTAATTGTTTGACAGACAATTTTTCTCACTTTTATTTATTTATTTATTTCAAATGGAAGGCGTGTTGATAGTTATCATTAGCCCTTTAGTTGACTTCGGGCTTCACAGAGGGGAGGAGGAACATCAAAGTGATAAAAAGTCGAGAGGGGGGACAGAAGAGTGTCTTAAAGATGTAAAAGAGACAGACACAAGGGTAGATGAAAGGTGAGGTAAGTACTGTGGAAGCAGTCGATTATGACATACAATGGGGTGATGGTAGTTTGAAGTGAGAAGTAGTTAAGTTCTGGTAGTTTGAAGTGAGAAGTCAACTGCCGATTAAGGATCTTTTTGCCTTATGAGTATACGTTGCCCAGGGTGCACCACATTTTGCCGTATGAGTATGCGTTGCCCAGGGTGCACCACGTTTAGACTTTTTTGTCGCATGAGTATACGTTGCCCAGGGTGTTAGACTTTTTTGCCGTATGAGTATACGTTGCCCAGGGTGCACCACGTGGAGGTAAGTCTATCGCACACCCCATTTTTCTCACATAATTGTGGCAGAATTGGCCTTGCCTACTTTTCCAAGGTGGCAGCTACCCGGACCCAAGGAAGAAGACTTACAAGTGAAATGCATTTCTTTCCTTTTTTGTTTATTATGAGGTCTGTTTAACTGCCTGGTGAGCCAACAATTGCTCCCACGGCTTCCTCACATGCGGTCTTGCACATTCAAGTGTGAGTGTGGGAATCCAACAATCAATGCTCCACTGTGCTTGATAGATGAATTTGTCAGTTTCCTTCGATAAGCCTTTTATCAATTACTTTTTGGATGTAGCATAAGTGATGAATTGAAGTTGCATAATCTATGATAAGTATCTAAACCATTTGGTATTAAGTAACCTTAATGAACATTTTCCGTATGTGAAATAAAGGTCAGAGTAATTAAAGCATAAGCATTGCGGGCGGAGAGATGGCTATTAGGGTATTATTCTTCCTCTGACGAATAGGCCACCACAGATGCAAGAAGACATATTTTCGCTCTGGCTGAGTTTGTGCGCCCCTATGAGTGGCAGCAAGAAAGGTTCGGGAGGGGGGATATAATCTACTTAAAGGGAGGTGACACTGGTCGTTTTTTTCTGGTTTCAATTTCTACCCTTTTTCCATTTCTCATTGTACGCTTTCAAATGCTATTAGTTACCTGAAAATTCCGTTTAGCAAGTGATTTTTTTATGAATTCACAGCGTATAGATATAGTGTTAGTGTGTTAGGGATCTCAGAGTCAATTTTCAACTGTAAATATCCAGTGATACAGATGTCAAAACGCATTGGTTATTTCTATTGAACAAGACTATTTGAAGGTTGGTCAGCCATCGGGTTTTGGATCTATTGTCCTCCGGAGAAGGTATTATATTCTCTGATCTATTGGATTGGCAACTAAGTCATTGTCGTTTTTGTTGACGGATTCACTCTATACTTTCTTTTGTTTTGTTAACGTGGCCAGAGCATCTAACCTATCTTTTTTTCTTACTGTATGGGCTTCTAGGTTAATTAGTAAAAAATTTTTTTGTTTAGTTCTTTAGTTTTGTTTTTATTCCAATTTAAAAATGAAAGAACAGGACGTGCACTTCCGACACATTTTATTGTATTACTTCCGAAAAGGCAAGAACGCATCGCAAGCACAAAAGAAGTTATGTGCCGTATATGGAGCTGAAGCCTTAAAAGAAAGGCAGTGTCGAAATTGGTTTGAAAGATTTCGTTCCGGTGATTTTTCACTGACAAATTCACAACGATCTGGCCGCCCAGTCGAAGTGGATGAAACCCATATCAAGGCCATCATCGATTCAAATCGTCACAGCACAACACGAGATATTGCAGAGAAGCTGCTCAATGTGTCGCATACATGCATTGAAAAAATTAAAAACCCTTGGTTATGTCAAGAAACTTGATTGATGGATCCCTCACCAGTTAAAGGAAATTCATTTGACGCAACGGATTAGCATCTGTGATTCGCCGCTACTGAAACGCAATGAGAATGATCCATTTCTGAAGAACCTAGTTACTGGCGACGAAAAGTGGATAGTTAATAACAATGTTACTCGCAAGAGATCATGGGTGAAGCAAGATCAACCAGCCCAAACAGTATCAAAAGCAGAGATTCACCAAAAAAAGATTATGCTGTCAGTCTGGTGGGGGGGGGGGATCACAAAGGAATTTTGTATTTTGAATTCATGCCGCAGAACCAAACGATAAATTCAAATGTGTATGTTGAAGAACTCGAAAAAGTGAAGGATGCAATTGAAGATAAGCGGCCGGCATTATCAAATCAGCGGAAAGGTGTTGTTTTCCATCATGATAACGCAAGGCCCCACACATCTTTGGTTACTCGGCAAAAATTATTGGAACTGGGTTGGGATGTTTTGTCACACCCACCATATAGCCCTGACCTTGCGCCTTCGGATTACCATTTGTTTCCTTCCATGCAAAACTCCTTAAATGGTAAAATTTTTAACAACGCGGATGATGTCGGATCACACCTAATTCAGTTTTTTAATAGCAAAGTCCAGACATTTTACGAAGGGGGAATTTTTACTCTGCCAGAACGATGGAAAAAGGTCATCGACAAGAACGGCCAATATCTAATTGAATAAAGTTATATTTTTAAACAAAAATTCCGAATTTGCCTTCTTATTTGAAATCAGCAATGACTTAGTTGCCAACCTAATACTTACGAAATCCATTTAAGGCCTTTGGTTTTCTTCCCATCAGCTGAAAATTCTTTGAACCAAATTTTCGATATAAGACGCAGTGCAGACCTCATATGATTGGGCTCTGCTTCTTTTAGTCCACCTGAGATTTTCGAATAAATCATGTGGATTTAATTTGCACTTCGACCGAATCTTATCTATTAATTGTATATATCTTTTAGCGAAATTAAGAAATGCGCAGAAATTCGTAAAAAAGGCCAAGTGACTGTCGCTGCAACTTGTTTCGTCATCTTGTCTTCCCTAAAATCTTTCATACATGAAATCTCTATTTCTTGATATGCCAATGTCATTTGGGAATGTTAATTTAAAAAAAAGGAACTGAGAAATGATATTCGTATTGTAGGATTTACAACAATAAAGACAGAGGGCACTGTTGATTGCTGTTGTTACCTGTCAAGCATAATTTTGACTTCTACCATCTAGTTCTAATTCAATAATTTCTGCAATTCGGTGACCTCAGTTCTTATTACTTCCACTTCAACATACTATGAGCTTCAATTCTGTTGCCCTTATTCTCTAATTTATTGTCTGCCAAATTTAACTAAGCAAAGGATTGGTTGAGGATATACTATATTTTCATACAATTGAACTTGTATGTAGCTTAGCTTAGAGACAACCAAGTCTAGAATTTGACTCAATGTTTCTTTCTTATGATGATAGATTGGTTTCTATTGCCTATATTCCATACTTAAGCAAGGGCTTATATTCTGTATTCAAATCCATGCAAATTTGTCTAAAGGTATCTCTATATTCCACTTTCATTTAGTTTCACATTTTGGAGGGATGGGATGCTCAAAGATCTTTATTATTTCTATTTCCGCGTCTTGATTAATTGAGGCTATTTATTTATTTATTTCAAATGGTAGGCGTTTTGATAGTTATCATTAGCCCTTTAGTTGACTTCGCCGGCGTTTTGATAGTTATCATTAGCCCTTTAGCTGACTTCGAGCTTCACAGAAGGGAGGAACATTAAAGTGAGAAAAAATCTTTCACTTTGGGAAGAAACATCAAAGTAACAGAAAGTCGAGGGGTGGGGGCACAGATGTAAAAGAGACAGACAGATACAAAGGTAGAGAAAAGTTAAGATGAGTACCGTGGAAGTGGTCGAACATGGCATACAGTTGTGTCATAACGATTATTTATACTTTCGTTTTTCTCGAATTTTTTCCAATAGGTCTAAATTTTGTAGTCTTTGTTGATAACTTTTTGTGATAGTGATGAAATATTTTTATTATATTAATTTTTTTTGCTAATGTGATTCCTTTCATTTGAAATCCTCTCGGAGATTGGTCTCGCCTTTCGGATACTTAATCTTCTTATGCAACCTCGAATTCACCCTATGACTGATTTTACCCATTTAAGATGGGATGGATGAAGAAGGTTTGGTCATGGATATTTAATTCATTCCACGCGTTCTAAATTTATATTCAGCATTAAATAGTGCGAGTGAGAAATGTATAGTAAGGTTAAGATCGATTTTCCTTGCGAAGCTGAATTGAGTTGACTGTCTACTAGTTTTACTTAAGGTATACTGTTACCTGGTTTTATTTCCACTGTAGAAGTCTAGGAGCTTCCGATTGAGCACCGGCTCGATCTTTCACACGGTGACTCTCCAACCAGATGAGACGATCACAGTTACGAAATACCAGGCTAAGTAAGTCACTATTTTCATATATTTTTCCTTGAATAGAGCATCGTATTTTACTATGCATAATCTTAAAAGTACATATTCCATCCATTAAGCTTGTTTACTCTACTAGTAGAAAGTATAATGTTTGAAGTACACTAGATAGGCGATGCATTAACTGTTTGGTTTCCGTTAAACGTGACTCAAGTTCACGGTGTACATATTTTTGCCTCTAGTTTTAAAAATCACTTCCTCAGATGGTCTGTGTTCGTCTCTTAATATGCAAATTAACATATAATTCAGGCAGGATGAATTAAAATATATCTTACCGTTTCGATGGCGCTCTAAAGCCTATTTTTGAGAATAATAAACACTTTTATCTACTTATTCTGCTGCTCTTTAGTCAATTGCCGATATTCTGTTATACAGCCACTGCCAAGCGAAACTCCTCCGTTAGTTTTGGTAATGAATTTAATGTTCCTGTTTGGAAGTCTTATAGACCATTAACTTTTGACATTCCTTGTTCATCTCATTATTAAAGTACGATTCACAAAAATATTCATTTATTCATTTCAAATGGCAGGCGTTTTGATAGTTATCATTAGCCCTTTAGTTGACTTCAAGCTTCACAGAGGGGAAGGATCATCAAAATAACAGGAAGTTGAGGGGTGGGGAACAGAAGGGTGATTTACAGTTGTAAAAGAGACAGACACAAAGGTAGAGTGAAAAAGGTGAGGTGAGTACTGTGAAGTAGTGGAATATGACATACAGTGGGGTGATGGTGGTTTGAATTTAGAAGTCAACTGCCGGATAATAGATGAAAAATTTAACGCTTCACAACACAATCCTTAACGTAATTTTGCCTAGCATTTATGACATCGAAAACGACCTTCTTTTATCTCTGATCGTCCAAGCAATACAAGCATGCGCTTGATTAATAATTTTCTATTTTTCCGAATTTTCAAAGTTAAAATCTTCACATATTGCACATCTGATTTCGTGATTGAAGTCGAACAAATACTTTTAGAATCTCTAACGTACACGGTACACTTGACTTTGCGAATTAATGCTTTAAGTTTGTTATTGGGAGTGTCTTAAGCCGGGGATTCTCTCATCTTAATGGAGTTTTACTTGTTGTTCTTTTGTTTTTTTTGTTTTCCTTTAGGCGTACCCAGAAGATTGAGAGCTTCGTTAGTACCTATCGGTACATTCTCGAGGTGCCGGAGAGTCATTGCTATCTCCCAATGGAGATTACACTGAAGAATAGAATGCAGTTAGCCTTCAATTGGAGTTATCTTGATAATCTTGTCTCCACTCACGGCATTCATGAGTCCTATGAGCTTTCTTCGGTGAGTTCTTCCGTGGTTTGCTTTATTTTTATTACTACTGGCATGCTTTTAGATGTTGTTAGTCATAATAAGCCAAGCTTCACACAATATTCTCTGGAAAAGAGCAAGATACAAACATTAACTTAAATCTCATGCAGTTCTCTTAACGTAAAGGTGATGCTTGCTTTGGATACCAGTTTTCACTACCTTCCATAATTAAGGCGGTTATTCGAAGAAAGCGACGAAGATTTACGTCTATTCGAAGCCGAATTACTTCAGCCATTACCATTTAATAGTAAGCAAAAAATGTCCATCTTTGATTAGCTCTGTTATTTTTCACTGTATATTACAAGACTTTAATTACTCCAAGACTGAACAGACATTTTTTACTTAAAGAAACGAACAAGTTCTATTATAAATCGGGAAATCTGTAGTCTCTCCCGAATTTGTCTCCTGTCCTCCCAATATTACCATTGTGCAGCTGGACGCCAATCACTGAAGAAATAGGCTCCTAAAAATTTGCTATCGCAGCTTGTTCTATGAGTTGAACTTTGTACTTCAATGGGAAGTTTATTTATTTATATCAAATGGAAGGCGTTTTGATAGTTATCATTAGCCCTTTAGTTGACTTCAGGCTTCACAGAGGGGAAGAAACATCAAAATGGGAAAAAAAGTCTTGGGGGGGGGGAGACAGAAGAGTGATTCAAAGATGTAAAAGAGACACACAAAGGTGGGAAAAAGGTGAGGTGAGTACTGTGAAGGTGGAAGAATATGGCATAGAGTGAGGTGATGGTAGTTTGAAGTGA